ATTAGTACTGCATCGTATTTAGAAGGAGCACTCAGCAAACTTTAATGTCAAGCAAGGATATGCTTCCTTTGGCTATATGTATCCTTCAGGAGCTTGTCTTAAAAGAGCTTAGAAGAAGAATTCAAGACTGTTTTATGAATATGCTTTAATTTTGATTTTTCATGTGAATATATACAGTAGAAATATAAAATTGTAGACCTTGTCTAGATACCTCTCCAGCATTCACGTACCAGTGGAACATTAACTTGTCTTTTACTATCATAATTTTAGACAATGGAAATCAAAAGGTAGCATTTGCTGGAAATGTTACAGCTGTTGAACTACGAAGGGAACTTCTGTGGAACAGATATCCTCAGTCAACACTTTAATCTGTAAAATGCTGTGTTTCTAGTCTTGTCTTTGAAGTAGTAAGCTCACGATAAACTCATTATTTGGGGATGTTTGGTTATCTTTTTCCTGCAAATGATGGATGATTCTAAGGTCACTGAAAACTTAGCAAGGTCAAATTGCAGATGAAGTAACAAACCAGAAATGAAAACTGAAAATTAACTGCTAGTTGAATAACAGAGATGCTATGTTAGTTCACTTTTTGTCTTCTCTTAATTATTAACAAACTGGTAAGGGATCGCAATGATATTTTATTTAAGTGTGCAAATAAGAGTATATTGACATTGGAACATGAAAAGTCAGTTGGCTATTCGACAAAAAAAAGTGCTGGCTTGATGGGAAAAGGGTAACACAGTTTTGTCTTCCTCTAATGACCATAGTTAAATGTGACCAATCTGTTAAATACTACAGTAATATTACCTTAATTTGAAAATGGAATTTTATAATACAGGGGAAAAGAAAAGGAATGTATAGCAGAGACTGAGAAATGCAATCAGTTTATGCCAATGCCATGTTGTCAGTCCTCAGCAGGTGCGCAAGGTGATTTGTTTTGCTATTTCTAACAGCCTTTGGTAAGACTGTTGTTAATTATCCAATTGTATTTTTCTAGTAACAGTGTCTGTTCTACTGTCTGAAAGAACACACTTAAGATTTTTTTTTCTGTTTCAGAGGTGTAGATTTGTAACAGGACTTGCTTATGTCATTAAATCTACCTCTGATGCATCCCAGATGTAGCCCATTTACAGGCATTAAAATGGCTGTTTTGTGGAGACCAAAGATAAGCATAGCTAATATCCTGCCTCCAACACTGGCTAATAGTGCCTGCTATAATACTAAGAGCAAAGATTAGGGCAAGAAGCTAGTCGTGTTTCCCCAGAATGCTTTCCCAGCCCGCAACAATGTGAAACATCGAAGCCAGATGTCGTATCTTTGTATTTTTCTTATTAAAATCTTTTATTTACTTTTTGTAAGTAGGTAAACTCTTAGTTTTAATGACATCACAGCATAATCACAAGTTGGGTTAAGTGCTTCGTTTTGTTTTAAAGTCATGGCCCACTATTTTCATTTGATGTCCAATCATTCTCCATCATCTCCAAGCCACTCAATATGTTATACTACATTTATGTACTCAACCATGTCTTCCAAACTGAAAAGTTCTGATCTGTTTTGTTGTTTAATCTATATACTTCATCATCCTTCCCCCCCGCCTCTGTTTAGTGCATTCACGTCAAGTGTGGATATCACTTTCTAGGATACAGCAGACTTAAGGCTCGCATTCTGGGTAGTCAATCTGCCTTTATTTAGTGCCACTTGTCTGGGATCTCCAAACCTCCAGCATTTGTCTAAAACTGCTCCTCTTTTCAGCCTAGGAATATTTTTAATGGACCTGCTGTCCTACTTGGTTTGCTGTAGGTCTGGGAACTCTGGACAAGTTCCAAATGTTCAGATTATGCCTGGACAGGAAACTTGGAATAAGATCATGGAATCACAAAATGATCAGGGTTGGAAGGGACTTCTGTGGATCATCTAGTCCAATCCCCTGTCAAAGCAGGTTCACGTAGAGCAGGTGATACCCCATCCAGTATCGATGTGGTAGTTCTGTTAGTATGTTTGGCCACAGTCTACACTGTATCTGTTCTCTTGTATTGTTTGTTGTACTAGTTACCTCATCAGAAGCTGCTTCTACTGACCAAAGGTTCTTTACCGTCACTTTTGAAAAACAGTTAGTACACTGAAACCAGCGCTTTCCATTCCACAAAATACTCAGTTGATTTTGCCAACCAAAAATCGACTTAGAACCTGGCGGTGTTCTGGCATGCTGTTGGTGCTTGTGCAGGAGGCTCTTTCACAGATCTTAGTGAGCCACTTGCCACTTCAGACTGCTTAACTACTAGCTATTGAGAGTACAGGACAGGGTAACAATGCTCCACACAAGTGGAATGAGCACCTGGAAAATGATGTGTTGATGCTGAAGACTGGTTATCAACTCCAGACACAGATCTTCAAAAGCTCCGTCTTTCTGAAAACACGGCAACTTCTGGTCATCCAAGCTGCAGTTTCTGTGTTTTCAGATAGAACTTTGGAAGATTTCTGTCTGGCATTAATAACCAATCCTCAGCATCAACACATGGTCCCACCTGTTGGTGCTAATCCCTCCAGCTCAAAACCTCTCCTTCATGCAGGAGCATCAGTCTCAGTTGCAACTGAAGCTGGCCTCCATTTAAGTCATGTGGTCCTGCAGATAGCAATTCCTCGTTGCTGTCCTGCAACAACAGTAACACCAGGTCTTGCTGGGCACCTGTGTCTGCAAGCATGCATTGGTCTCATCTGATGCTTTTCTGCAGAGTAACGGCAGCCCACTGCTGGGTGTCTGCAGGGCGGGCAGAGAAGCGGTAAAGGAGGAAGCAGCAGGCAGCATGGTCTCAGCAGAAAGGTAAGGATTAGCAAGGAAGGATCTACAGGATGTTCCTTTTACATCATGGATGATCCTTAAATAGTGACAGCATCTGTGTAAGGCAAATGGCTCTTCAGTGTAGTGTGTGTGTTAGGGAGCACGGCGCTGTGCGGGGATTGTGTGGTATCCACCGTTCTCACAGGCGATGGAGGTGGTTCCCTCAACACATCCCTCCAGATTCTGGTAATCCTCAATGCAGGCCTGAGCAATTCGGCAGTAACCAGGCTGGTTTGTGTCCTACCACAGGTTAAAATGGCAGCATGAATGCACACAGAGGTATCTTAAAAGGTGAGAAAATCCCTGCTCAGGACTCGAGGTGAGGGCAGAACTCCAAATGTCGGGAATTAACTCAGTTTTAATGGAGACTAGAGCTTCTTGCAAGGAAGAAGTTAAGGCTTAATGTACAGTAATTTGACCATTGTAGGAGATAATGTCATTGCTGATCTGTTAAGTGATCTTGGATGCTTTTCTGTTTATTTGTGCTACAGATTGAATAATGTTGAAGTTGTAGTATAAATAATTTTAGGATGTCTTATGAGAGAAGTGAAAGACCTTTAAAATGTCTGTATTTTAGTTCCATATGTTGGGAAGTGAAGATGTGGAGATGATGAATGTGTGAAATATAAAAGCTGAATTTTCATGTGTCACGTCAGGGTTTACAATTTAACTAGTTCTTGTGATTCTGTATGTTGTAGGATGCTGTCTCCTTGTGTAAATTTAATTAATAGATCCACTTTTTAGTTTGTAAATGGAGATTTAAAAAATATCCTCCATTCTAATATGTTCATTCATTTGGAATCCTAATTCACTAGACTTGCAATTTATAACACGATCACTTTGTTTGACAGTACATTGTACTAAAAGGGAGACCTGACACACACTTTAAAATGGCTCTCACAACTGTCTGACCTTATCTATACCACCAACAGCAGCGTAGAAAAGGCCAGGAATCTTGGATTCTGCCTTTGGCTTGTCTCTGGGGAAACTATGGCAGTTTTGGTTATAGATAAAATACCTGAAACATAATCATTCTGAAGCAAAATGGGGCCAAATAGCTAATCCTTGAGCTAACTAAAAAATGCTGGCATAGCAAGACAAGTACTGGCAAACTCTCTGAGCATATACAATTTATGCAAACAAAAGGTTAACCAGAACAGATTATACCAATTCTCTGAATGAAATAAATTGTACTGAAAAAGCAGGTTTTGCTAGCGGAATAACACTGTTGGAATAAATGTGTCTACATTGTACATAACATAAAGATGCTTATGAAAATTAGTAACTTAAGTCTTCCTGAACATCAGTTTAAAAGAAATACCAAGGTAATAACATACACATCCAAACCCCACTAGATGGGAATCAACAGTAGGTTGGTTGTATTAAAATCATAGATTCAAGCACACTAAGCTACAGAAATAAGACTTGAATATTGTGGTGAAGACAAGAAGGTAGCACATAATGCGTGTTTTAATGTGTCATTAAATTATGTCATAGTTTTTAATCAAGGCTGACATTTCCTGACAAAAAGGCACTTTCCTGATTACAAAGGGCAAATCTGATAATAATAGAATGACAGGATCCCAGAAAATATCACGACTGTCATTTAGAACTTGTCTTGACAGGGGGTTATACTGGAAATGGATTAGGTCAATTTGGCATACAGCATTTATATCAGAATAAACATGCCCCATGGAGCTAATAAGCAATATTCTTTGCATTTTAAACATTTTCTTGCTTAAGTTCAGACATTGTGTTTCAAAGCCTTCAGGTTATTTTGGGGCTGTACGTTATATTACTTTGTCTCATAATCAATCCTATTTTCATTTTATCAGAACTTTAATGTGAAAAATAAAATAGTGAGTAAGTACAATGTTCTTAATCCATGTTACTTAAACCAAATTGATTTAAACCTTATAATCTTTTGTTCAGCTTCAGGGTTTTATTTAAAAGTCTCTCAAAACACAGAAGGATTTCCTCTTGGTTTCCAGTTGCATTGACTCACTCTTCTTGGTAGGGTAGTTACAAATACTTTTCTTTTGAGCTTTGATGTATTTCTTTGTTCAGTCAGATGTTTGCCCACATGTTTCTGACAGGTTTTATTATCTCTTGATTTTTTAATTTTTGTTTTGTGTTTGTGAAGGCTGACCACTGTTCGTTATTAGGCTGAACTGATTTCTTCTTCATCTTCCTCAGAGTCGGCATCATCATTGTAGAAGTGAATTGTAGCTTGTACTGGAAAACTCGCCAGAACCTTCTCTCCAATGTTATGAAGAAACTTTTGGGATTTGGACTTGGGCAAGTAAAGTCTAATAAGAAAACAAATTTTGAGAGGAAAAAGTAAAAATATGCGACACTTCCCTAGCTAACCTAGCTTAAGTATTAAAACCTATTTTTACCTTTCTTAGGAGAGAGAAAAATACTAGGGTTCCTTGTCTTTTAAAATAAAAGTTGTTAACTAGAAGTTATTGTTGATTTTAAGTTACCTCAGTTGCTTTGGGCATATTGTGTATTGGATTTATCTAAGGTCCCACCCTGATAAAGTGTTGTTAGGGCAATGATGCGTGCCTGAGATGTTTTTGTTTTGGTTTGGTTTTCAGCACAGTTCAGAACGGAAGTGTCCTGTGTGACTGGGGGAAGTCTGAGGAATGTTCTGGGATTCTGTAATTCAGATTAAGACACCACATTAAGATGGGGGTGGGTTGTCTGTTGCACAGAGGTTGATCTGAGTGGGTTTTGTGTCTCCCAGGTGCAGGAGGTGGTGTACACTGAGAGAGAATTATTTCAAAATTCATATTGTTTTCTATTGACTTAATTTACATTTCAGGTTTTTTATCAGCTTTGCCAGTAAAGCAAAACTTATGTGGTCTTTGTACATATGTGTGTGTTTTTGTGTGCATGTGTATGTGCATCTCTTCCTCTTAGTTCCACTTTGGCCAGTTTTCAGTTAAATTTGACAGCGATAAAGGTCACATGGAATTTATGCTTCTACAACTTTTATAAAAACAAGTGCTTGTAGAGAAGTGCTGCTCTAAACGCAAGTCTAGATCAGGAGTTTCTACATCATTAAGCCTTAAAGAATCCAAATGTTGATGAAAACCCTTATAAATCCCCCAGGCATAGGAAAAGCTTTATGTGGAGTTCAACTTTTGTTCGAGAGCAAATTTAAGTAAGCTTGACACAGATCTGTAACAAGACATATTCCATTAGCAGCTGTTCACGTTAATTATTTGAGCTTTGTGGGCTTGTTATCGTACTAATAAATGTATAAATTAGATGAGGCAGAAGAACTTGTTTCTTTTAAGATTACTTTTTTTCTTATTTATGTTATTAGCGTATTATTTCAGGTTCTGTTCAGCCTGGGCATCTTTCCTCGTGGAGGGATAAAAATCCATGGAGTCTGGTGTGTAGTTAAACTGCATTAATAAAAAGAGATACTCCAGAGACAAAGTGATACTTCTCCCGAGAATAAATATGTCTTGTCTTGGACGGTGTCACTTTTCCTGTATGAAGTGATAGGATTTAACTCACCTCACTGGATGTTGAAACCCCAGGGCTCCTTTTGATCTAAAATTTATTAGTTGACCATCCAGTTCTGACTGTGAAGAGACATATTTATTATTTAGAATAGGCTAAAAATGAAGATTTCGCTTTTTTCTTCTACAAGTAACTGTAAAATTCTACAATAATGTTGCTTTGTTTGCTGTGCTGCCTGTTGTTTTACTCTGAGTAAGCATACTTCAGAGAATACATGTGCCCACAGTCTGCCCATAGTTGCACGTTTAACAAAGCATTTGAACTTGTATGCTTTATGAGCCATAAATCCATGAAGCATTGTACATTTTGCTTAAGTTTGTATGGAATATCTGTAGAGAGACTGGCGAGCTAATAACACCGCCAAATGGAAGTTCAGTGATTGGAAGAAAAAAGGATTTTTGATCAGTTTGAAGGATTGGGAGGTTAGGGTTTTATAAAATACCTCTTTGACTACACTAACCAGTAGTTTGGAGTTGGAATGTGCAAGTCGGCAGGCTAGACTGTAATCAAAGATCACACAAGCACACTAAGAGTCCAAACAGTAATACCAAGAGACAACTCGCATCTCATATTTCTATGTAAACAGTGATTAAAAAAAGCAAGCTTTTTTGATACAACAGAGTAAGTAGCAAAAACATTTTAAATATAAAAATCAAATCTAGCACAAAATAAATTCATTCAAATTAAAGTTACAATAAAAAAACAATAGTTAGCAAAAGTTAACCTTACTAAATGCTGTTAGGATTATAAACCTGGAATGTAAACTTGAAAGCATCTCCCAAAGTCACTGAGCTGAACCACTTAATCTTGTAGGCACAGATTCTCTTCCATATCTTAAAACAAGAAGACTTCTTTTTTTCCCTCCTTCTTCTGTAAACTTGGTGTTGCATAAAATAGGAAGATTTAGCTTTGCTATTCTGGAACTTCTAGTGAACAGAATCTAGCAACTGTCCGCTCTGCTCCAAACAGACGAAGATGACTTTTGCCACTGTCAGAGCAATTCATCCATCCTTCTGACGAAATAGGCTTCAGCATGGGTGTTTTGGTGGGCCCCAAAAAGCCCTTGGGCTACAGACTGAGCAAGGGGTCATGTAGAATTCTCCTGTACTTTTTATGATGGCCTGTTTCTCTCATATTCACCTGTTTGTCTTGTAGGCGAAATGATTTGTCTTTAGGCTGTTAGGGTTTTGTTAAGTTTTTTTTGTGTTCAATCAGGTGACTCATTCACTTTGTTTCCACAGTACCTAGTAAAATGGACTTCTGATCTGGCTGAATATTGTAGATGTGATCATAATACCTATGCTAAATACCATATTATGTTTCTCCTTTCATATTTGCATACAATAAGATTAAAATAGTCTTTTTTATCTTTGTTGACCTGTATTTTCTACTGTCATCTCTTTGGATTACATATTATTTTTTAATAATTACATGTGTAATAATACATATTGATTAAATATCCATTATACGCTTTTTCTTTTCAGACTATAATACAGCATTTCTGAAAAGCAATTCTGATAAAAGCCAGTTAATTGCAAAATCTAACTCATTCATTTATATTACTTTTAATGGCTTTTCTTTGGGCATAAGTAATGACGTATGTGAATTTAGGTACTAGGAAAAGTGTTACTTTTTATATAAGAAGTATATTATGTATACATAACTATAGGCTGTAATGTAACACACATCCTTGGCAATAGACGTAAAATTATTTGTTTAAATTTTTTTACCAGTACTTTTATTTTTTAGTGCTTTAGAATGAATCATAGAATGGTAAGGGTAGGAAGGGACCTTAAAGGTCATCTGGTTCCAACCCCCCTACCATGAGCAGGGACATCTTCCACCAGACCAGGTTGCTCAGAGCCCCATCCAGCCTGGCCTTGAACACTGCCAGGGAGGGGGCAGCCACAGCTTCTCTGGGCAACCTGTGCCAGTGTTTCACCACCCTCATGGTGAAGAACTTCTTCCTAAAATCCAACCTAAATCTGCCCTATTTTAGTTTACAGCCATTCCCCCTTGTCCTATCACTACACATCCTTGTAAAAGTCCCTCTCCATCCTTCCTGTAGGCCCCTTCAAGGTACTGGAAGGCTGCTGTAAGGTCACCCCAGAGCCTTCTCTTCTCCAAGCTGAACAGCCCCAACTCTCTTAGCCTGTCCTTGTAGGAGAGGTACTCCAGCCCTCTGATCATCTTTGTGCCCCTCCTCTGGACGCCGTGCAACACATCCATGTCCTTCTTATGTTGGGGGCTCCAGAACTGGATGCAGGACTCCGGTGGGGTCTCATGAGAGCAGATTAAAGGGGCAGAATCACCTCCCTCAACCTGCTGGCCACGCTGCTCTTGATGCAGCCCAGGATATGGTTGGCTTTCTGGGCTGCAAGCGCACATTGCCGGCTCATGTTGAGCTTCTCATCCACCAGTACTCCCAAGTCCTTTTCCTCAGCGTGCTCTTGAGCCACTCTCCACCCAGCCTGTACTTGTGTTTCAGATTTCCCTGACCCAGGTGCAGGACCTTGCACTTGGCCTTGTTAAACTTCATGCGGTTCATGCAGGCCCACCTCTCCAGCCTGTGAAGGTCCCTCTGAATGGCATCCCTTCCCTCCAGCGTGTCAGCCACACCACACAGCTTGGTGTCGTCAGATGCTGAAAAACTTAGGGAGGTGCTTAAAACCCAGCATGGGAGTAGCACCATTTCAATACATTTTTTAAAGTTCACAGCGTCGGGACCTATGTTGAATGTGCTTTAATCTCTCCTTATTTTTGTTCTTTGATCCTAACAAGTCTTCCTACATGAGTAAGTAAAACTAATAATCACGGTGCCTTTCAAAGGCACTTGGCAGTAAAAACTACTTTAAAATCCAATTTTCTGTTGATTTCCTAGCTGGTTTAGCTATAGCAACATCCCTCCCAAAAAACAATCAACAAAATGGTGCACCTGAAAGTATGTTTTTTTAAATTTCATCTTAAAGTAATTTTTGCTCAAACTCCCCCTATATACAAAACATCACGTACAGACTAGGCCTGGAAATTTCAAACTGAGGATATTTTTATTTCTGTAATTTAGCAAATAAAACCTGCTGTTAAAATAAGGGTTGTTTTGAGTAAGCAGTGCTCTCTGCAGTTCTTTAATGGATAATGATTCTATATTTGACACAAAATGATGAGATACTCTTAACCATGACCATGTACAGAACACTGTAATTTGAACCGTATTTTCTAACAGTGAAGAAATGCTTGAAAGAGCAAGTGAATGGATGACCAAGCCTCACTTCCTGTGTTCAAACAGTTTCAATTTCTGCACCTGTTTTCTATCAGGATTATTTTCTCCAGAATTTAGTCTCACCATTTGTTGATTCTCTGTTATCTCACCGTCTCTTGCTGTGAGCATCCAGGGCCTCCATAAAGCAGGGCTGCTGAAAGATTAAGACAGAATAGAGCTTCCACAGTTACTTCTTTGTGGTAATCTCCGTACAGTTCAGCTCCTTTTCTTAAATTCTGCTGGTATCTTTTGAAATAACAGGATTTTTCCCTTCTCAACACATTTCGAGTTGGTAAATCTGATTTCTATGGCAATATTAGTCTGTCTTCTGTCTACAATCTGATTATACAAATTGGACAATGGCTTGCACATTTTTAACTAAGGCATCATTTCCCTTTAAGATTTCACAACTCAAGAGTGACTGCACTGAACTCCAAATGATGATGTAATTAATACTTAAATCTTTTTATGTATGCAGCATTGCTACAAAATAAAAAGTAACCCTCCCTCCCTGCCAGTATGTCTAAATACAGATTCCATGTCATCATTCAGTGGCTGGTTATTGATTGAGTAAGCAACTCCAGCATTAAACTGACATGGGCAATCTGATCTAATTAGCTTAAGAGAGCATATGCAGTGGTGGAAGCTACATCTGCCTTTTGTTTAGTGGGGGGGGACTACAATTATGGATGCTCTTTTTTAACAGGACTTTCCATCTCTGCTGCTGTGTAACAGATCCATACAGCTGGGGAAATAGAGAAGTGCTTTCAGATATGAAAGGTAAATGAACAAAAAAAAAAAATCAGTTATCACCACCTTAAGTTTCATTTACTTCCATTTATAAGTAAATTCTGAAATATTTGACTGAAAAGGATAAAATATCAGCAAAAGACATCAGAGTCATTGGATGGTTTGGGTTGGAAGGGACCTTACAGATCATTCAGCTCCAACCCCTCTGCCATGGGCAGGGACACCTTCCACCAGACCAGGTTGCTCAGAGCCCCATCCAACCTGGCCTTGAACACTGCCAGGGAGGGGGCAGCCACAGCTTCTCTGGGCAACCTGTGCCAGTGCCTCACCACCCTCAGCATAATAATTACTGAAACAAAATACCTGTTCCAAGTGAAACATTTTCAGAAACATGTTTTGTCCTTTACTTCTGAAGTTGGAAGTTGTTTCCCGTTGTCTATTCAATGCCGAAATCATTACATTCAAATGATTACTTACCAGGAAGCCTTGTCCAAAAAGCCTCGCTGCCCCTGCCTTACCTCTCCGGGTGCTCCCTCGGCCCATGACAGATGGGGCTCGCTGCAGCCTGGAGCCGGAGACCTGCAGCTGCACCCTCCATGGCATGTGGTGGTCTAAAGCCTGGGGCGGGCTAGGCACTTGCCTGGGCCTTTCAGCCCCTCCTTTATCTCAGCTCCCGAAGAATACTTACCTAAAACAAACATGGCCTCAGGTAAAAGGAGAGAAACGGCCTTAATGAGATTTCTATTGAGTCCCTGGAACAGTTCACAGGTAGGGCTCTCAGGCCGGCAGGCTGTTCTGGGGAGAGGGCTGATAGGGAAACAGAGGCTTTTTGTTAAGTTTGGTTAGCAAATCACATGGAAAATAACCCGCGCCCTTTAGTTTTCTGTCGCCGTTTCACAAAATCCATATTTGCTCTGTATGAAATACATGATGCAAATGCTCTTTTTGCATGTCTTGGGAAACCTCATCAGAGTAAGAAAGAACTCTTATGCCAAGAGAGATTACTTTGTCTATCAAAGAATAAGGGTTATGAACGCCGTCGCTTTGAGGAACCTTTTATTTAAAAGTATGCAATATATGCTTTAAGCCTACAAAGACTGAATAGAAACAGACTTATTCCAAGCTTTCTTCCCACTGTTTTCACTCGTAGGGTGCATTACTCATTACCTGTTACATTGTACAAGAACAATTTATTACCTGGTGGGTGACATTATCTGATTTTCATTGTTGTGGTTCATTGCTACAGTTCACTTTGTTTCCTTTATTTCCCAAGTACTGCAGAGATGTAAGAGGATTATAAGAACCGAAAGCTGAATTCTCTTTCCACTGGTGCTGTTTACACATTGACTTCAAAGGGAACAGATTCAGCTCCCAAATATAATTGGTTTCTACTGTGAACTTTCTTCCCAGAGAGGGAAAGATAATTTTGTTGACTGAAGATGGAATGTCCACTGGTTATTTAGTATGAATTAGGTTCCTTCTAGCTGACTCAGCTGAATAAACCATCAGAACAGTCAGTTTGTGAGGACACTGAAAATTCCCAGTGGGAGTCGGATCCCACCGAGGTAAGACTTGTGGCTCTTTTTCAGGTTATGATCCAGCTGCAGGCAGCACGTGTCCAGTCAGCAAGAGGGGGCTGGACTCACAGATAAAGACCACTGAATATATTCCCTTGGAGACATCATTTTCCCCCAGAATTGTTCTGTATTAGAAAACATTGTATATATACATTTGCACGTGTGGGTTTTTGTGCATTCTGCTGATTTTGCTTAAATTTAAATGTCTGTTTTCCAACAGGGAGGAGCTTAGGCCAGATTTGAAAGTCAGACTGATTTTCCTACATCGATGCAAGTTGTCGGTTGTGTTAGCTACCTGGCACTCCTAATACTGCTAAAAGTAATAACATAACATAGGTTCTGATGTTTTTGAAGTAGCCTTCAGTAACAGAACCTGGGATTTGATTTGTTGAGGTCCAATTCTTATACGCGTTTTTCCTGTTCTTTAAAAAATCCCTTCTTGCTGTGACAAATAGAAAGGTTTTAGACTCAAAGGCCAAAGCCATTAAATGCTGTTCTGGGAAGCAGTGACAATATGTAATAGAGGACTTGCAGTCTAAACCTACTCTCTCCCATGTTTAAGTACTGTATGATATTTCTAAAGTTGTAACTAGGTAAATAATACCGTATCTCAAAAAATAAATTATATGCACAGGCTCAATCACTTTAAACATTTATGTATCAAATTCAGTACAATTATTAGAATGAAGAATATGGTGAATAATATTGAAATAACAAAATACATATTAAATAGCAGCATGGGTCCTGAGAAAAAATGGCAAACTTCTTAAATAACCTAAATTGTAATTAAATATCTTGCTGAATTACAGTCTTTAATACGCATATATAATTTCATCAGCTTAGTTTTATTTAGACCCAATTTAACTTGATAGTTGAAAGGGAAGTGTGCATTACACAACTGATGTCTATGGTCCTGATCTTGCAATCGGATCCATATGTGAGGATAATTGATTTATACCCCTGGGCAGAATCTACCAACATGCATATTAGTGCAGGACTAAAGCCTCAACTATTAACGTATAGCTCTCCAGAAGATGCAAAGTTACCCTCAATTAAATCTGTCGATAAAGCCCTGCAAGACCAAATTTATTAAAAAATTATTGAAAATACAATTTTGTTAATGAAGCTGTAATGTAATATAATTACATATAACAATGTAGAAAAAATGTAAGTTAATATTATATTACTGTACTCATTAATCAAAGCACACAACTTTAACTAGTATTTTCACAGAAATCATTTGCTAAAATCAGGTTGCAGATCTGTGGAAGATGGTTTATTCCAGTAAAACATAAGCAGCTGTAATAGCGTATTATCTCTAGTTTCTATTAAAAAAAAAAAAAGGCAGCAGTTAGGCCAGACACAGCTGTCTAATTTTAAGAACTATATTACTTTTTGCAATATACTTAATTTTAATACAAGGTGCTGTATTTGGTGTAGAACACTGAATCAGAAAACACTGATTTTGTTACAGTTGCTCATCCATTTTTCCAAAAAGCCAGGAGTATTTTTCAGGCCTGATACTACCTAAGAACAACTTTGACAGACTTCATTCTTACAGAGAGATGAGCCGTAAGGTAATTATTTTGTGTTAATTGAAAGAGGTTTTTTTATCTGTGTGGGAAACCTGTTTTACTCAGTTTTCTCATGAAAGCATTTGTGCATTTGCAAGAATAAAGACTGTTCGATATCAATTGGTACAGTCAAAGAAACAGGATAGCTCTACAGCATTTATGGTTTTGAATAATATCTAGTATTAAACAATATGACATGGGCATTTGTAGCCACTAATAGCATGCAAAACTCCTCAAAGAGAAATTTTTGGGAAAAGTTTTAGGGAACAGAGGGAGGAGGAAACCGGGCCATTCACAAGGCGCAGCAAGGCCAGCCTCGTAATATTCCTTGAAAGTCAAAAAGAGACACTCATACATGCTGAGGTTACATGGTTGAGTTGGCTCCCTGTTCTGAGTGCCCTCTTTTGGGAGCCTTTCCTCGTGGACTGTTTGAAGAGCTGAGACGTTTACCCACCCTAGACTGAAGCTGCCCTTTCTCTCCCATTGGTGGCGGAGGGGAGGAGAATTCTCCAAGGTAGAAATTAAAAATTTAGCCTATTCACTTTCTTCAGGGTTTTTTAAATTCTCTTTAAATAACTCTAGGTCTGTGTGTGTTCAGCATCTTGCAACATCTTTCTGTAGTCTTTTCTCTATGACAAAAATCCAAGTGTTCTGGGAAGTCTGAGGGCTAATATTACTCACTGTTTGTTTCCAAGGCTTCCTTCCACCCTCCTGTAAGGACGAACTGATTGACACAGTTATTTTAGAATACCTATTTTAGTAAATTTCCTGGCTCATATAAGGCCTTGGCTTCACAATAATAAAGAATGTTTCCCAATCTAAAATTTCTTAACCTTGTAATCAGAACTTGTCATGATTAAGTCTAAGCTGCACTATAACAGAAACTAGAAAACCTACAGCAACTTTATGGCTTCAAATTATTCTAGTTGAGAATGTGCCAACATGTGTAGAAACTTGTCTTAAAATGGTGACTGGTTTTGCCTGTATATTGTTCTGCTTTAGATTCCCTTGCATCATGAAGTTTTGATTCAGTTTTCTAATTTACTCGGAAACATTTCCAGGGTAAGGGAACCTTAAAACCGAAAGGGATCATAATATAATTGACTGCATTCAATGCCACCACAGGATTAAGCAAAGCATGTTGCTCATTGTGCAAAGGTTATATAAACAGTTGTGTTTTGCAGTGTGCTTTGGAGGTCAGCAATGCATGTGCTGTTGAACTGTTACAGAGAAAGTGAATGCCAAAGTTGAGAGCTTTCTTTTGAGGTTGTGTACTTTGCTTGTTTTCTTTCTTTTGATGTGGCTGGGTTAAGTATTTTGACTTCCTGCATAAGGTAAAGTCACACAAAGGAACAGTGTATAATGCCAAGTTAGGACCACTGGAGACTTTATTCCTCTCTCTGTACAAATATGTACACGATATAGCAGCAGTACAAGGCTGATATTTATTAAGCTTGAGATGGAGAAGGAGAATTATTTGAATTATTTGACCCTCCAACTGAAACTGTCACCTGCTTCTGCCACGCATTGCGGAAATCAAAATTATGTCAGCAATTCCTATCATTTTGGATAAGCTTCTGCTGTGGGTGCAGACTTGCAGCAGTAAAAACATCTGTCATAGTACTGATGGTGGGTTTTTTTCACGTTGATACCCACTCCAAAATGTGCAGGGCCAATGTTTTCCTTGTTTGTCTACGGTGCCAGCGTGCTGTTGCTGGAGATCCATTTAGGAAATTGTTCTTTTAGAATATCTATTTCAGTAATTTTCCAAGCACACACAAGGCCTTGAGTTCAGAATAATAAAACACAATGTGGCTTCACGGCCTGTGCAGGAAACGATTGTCACGTATCAGTCAGCTGCAACTTTAATGTTGGTGTCGGCTTCTTTCTTCTAGCCTTCTTGCATTTTCCCTCTTCCCTTTATTTTCCTTCTCTTTTCACTCACCCACTACAGATCTGCTGGGATCGGACTGATGCATGGGTTCTTTTCACAGAGCTTGATCTTGTGACTACCTTTCATATAAAACACAAAATTTATTTAATAACTTTTGTGCGTACACATGCCAGAGGACTAAAGAATACCTTGTATGAGTTCTCTGTTGCATCTTCTGCCAGCGGCGAGGTCTGTTTGCAGCGCACATGGCACCTGCAAATCCTACCGCTTGATTCCCTGACAGGCTGTTCTTCACACTGGCTTCAATGCGCAGCCTCGCCGAGCCCTGACCTCGTGTCTTGTTCAGTGAATCCAACGAAATCAGCTGAAATCAAACACATGGATTTGTGCCCCTTTGCGCTCTAGTGGCTGCCCTGGAACAGGTACGGGGCCTGGAGGCCCGGGTCTTCATCTGGTTCCGTGACGGAGGGGATACTGCTCCTCTGGGATACCACGGATCGTGAAATAAGGTCGGGTGGCAGCGCGAGGCCGTTTCTGAGGGAGGCGAGATCCTTCCCTGTCGCTGCACGGAAACGAGCAGTGAACGCTTCGGCTCTGGCTGTTTCGCCTACCGGGTTACACACTTCTCTGCGACCCGCAGCAGCCAGGGCAAACGCAGCTTGTTCGGGACGGCGAGCCCATCTTTACGGCAGAAACGCGGGTTCAGTGCCCTGCGCTGCTCCCACCCCACACCACCGTCCCAGCAGAGGCCGCGGGATCCCCTGAGGAGCCGGGCCGCGGCGCCGGGCCACGGGCC